AGTCATGATTTGTTTTTATTTACTATTTATTCATTATTAATAGTAATAAATAACAATTAATATTAATGAAAGTTATAATGCAAAGAAAGTCACAATAAATATTACTTCACGCAATAATCCAATAACCTAATTTATAGTCATCCAAAAATATTCATAGAAAATAAAGGTAATTTATGTTTATCAAACAATTTCTCCTGGTTGGTACAATATACAGGTCGGATACACGCTAAGGGGTTGTTTACCAAACACTTACCCGGTAAGTGCTTACCGGTAAAATTTAACACTATTATTTACTTATCGGGTAAGATTTTAGTTCACAAAAACGAAATGGTATGCAACAATTTACCCGGTAAGCGCTTACCATGGTAGAGAGTCGTCGCTCTGACTTACCGGGTAAGACTCTTGGTTATTGTCTCGTTCTTACCGGGTAAGATTCTTGATCCTTATCATATTCATGCAGTTCTTATCATATTCATCCGATGAGATAATGTTACTTGGTAAACGCTCACCGATCCCTAAAACCATTAGTTTTTAAGATGGATAGAGTAGAGTTCGACTGATCCATCTAAACTAACATACAAAACAGTGGTCAAGCAATTAAAATCAAAGGGCGTCACTCATGTCTCTCTTGCTCCGGCATGCCAGAACCAGATTTGAGTCCACCGGCAACTCATCATCATGGTGGATGGTGGTGGTGGGAACGGTGACACGGTGCGGCAGCTAAAACAATCAAATTCAAGGGCTAGAAAACGATAACTTAAACCATTTACGTCAATTTGCCAAGGCTTAAAACATTAAAATTCCTTAAACCATTTGTTCCTTACACTTTCTGAAGTTAATACACTCATGACTGTACAAGGATCCTGTAGCTTCTGTTTCAAACACTACCACCACCGGAAGCCACCGATCTCGGATAACCAACCTTTTTGTTGTCGTTCTGTTTCCGAACCGGTTCTTTTCTACAACGATCCGAGGCTTTTTGCAACTCTAGAAGCTGTTCCAACACTTTAACCAACTCATCAGCACTCGGTCTGTACTTCGGTTCTCTTGCAAGGCACTTCATTGCAAGGGTTCCAGCTCTCATGGCTACACCAGAAGCGTACTGACTGTCAATCCGCTGGTCCATAATGTGAAGAATCGTCCTTTTGTGGGTTAAGTAAGGCTTAGCAAAATCAACCAGAATTTGTTCATTAGATGGACGGTTCTTATCAATGCATCGTTTTCCTGTCAAAATTTCAAGAAGAACCACCCCAAAACTGTAGATATCACTTCTCTCCGTTAAGTGACCTTCATGATAAATAAATTTCATCAGATTGGAAAAACAAGAATGGTCCGCTCCACACCAAATGTGGATTAAGTTAAATGATTTGTTTGTTTGGTTTACTGAATTCAAAAATCTTGAAGCTGAAATTAGTATCCAAATAGGTCCAGAGTGGTTCTCTATATGCAATAATTCCCAACATGCTCAAATAGATTACCTGTAGCCATGTATTCTGGAGCTGCATATCCATATGTGCCCATAACCCTTGTAGATACATGACTTTTCCCATCCACTGGACCATCTTTCGCCAACCCAAAATCGGAAAGTTTTGCATTGTAATTCTGGAAAAACGTATAAAATCTGTTAGTCCCTTGTTGGCTAAACTTGGACAATCTTTTATCAATATATGTTAGAAACTGCCAATCTGCCATCTATCTCTCTTCTAGGACTCTTTTGGAGAGTAATCTAATGGGGTTCCATATATTCTCACAAATCCGTAACTTGTAAAAGCTCATACAGAAAAGTAAGCACAGACAAGATGTGTAAGGACACGAAATCAAGACTTACAGAATCAATCAAGATATTGGAGCTCTTGAAATCACGATAGATCACTTTTGCATCTGGACTGTGAAGGTATGCAAGGCCCTTGGCTGCTCCAAGAGCAACCTTTAACCGTAGGTTCCATGAGAGCGGTTGAAAGTAGGAACTTCCTGTTTCAAGAATCCATTTGAATGAGTAATGAATAAGTTATGGGAAGATAATTTGGATTCGAGGGCGGGGGGAGGTAAAAGAAAGTGGTAAGAAACTTACTCCTGAATAGATGGTTTTCCAAGCTGCCACGAGACATGAACTCGTAGACAAGGAGCCTCTGGTCATCCTCCAGGCAGTAACCAATTAATTGTACAAGATTTGGATGATCTAGCTGCCCTAGATAATTAATTTCAGCCTGCAACAATATTACTACACAAAATTAGTTTACTCAAAGTACCAATTCAATGATCAAACTGCAGAACGTACCTAAGAGTTAATTTTGAAACCATACATATCAAGCAAATTCACACTTACCAACCATTCCTGGTGACCTTGAAGACCTTCTTGGTTTAATCTCTTCACAGCAATAACAGTGCCGGTGCCAGGCTTGGCAGCTGCAAGTGATTGTTCATCTATCCAACCCTTGAAAACTAAACCGAAACCACCTTCTCCCAACACACTATCAGGACGGAAATTTCTGGTTGCTGTTCTAAGTACATTGAAACTAAAAGACTTCAGATTTGCAGACTGCAAAATCTCAGATTGGCTCCGAGGGCTTGGTGGTACTGTTGCAGATGTAACCTTGCCTGTCAAATGCATTAAAAATACCACATCAATTGGTTTTGCTGCTCAATCTAACCCTTTTTTTGCAATTAAATTCGGTTTAACATGTACTTATTCAACTTAAACAAAAAAACACCTTTGTGTGTAAAGAAGACAACTGCAATAGCGATAAGAAAACACAAATATATGATCCACTCACCATCATGACGAGAACCTTCCGTTTTCAATCGATAACAAAAACAAGAAGCCATTAGTCGTCTTTCTTTCTTTTGCCTCTAAAAGAGAAGACAAGGAGTGGGGGGTGAGAGGTTTTGGTACGGAAGAATCAGTAATGACTGTGAAAAAGAACTCACAGTGGAATTATATGAAACAGTTGGTGGGTGTGAACGTAAGCCTCTATCATGAAAAGTTTACGTGTATATGGTTGGGTTCACGAGAACTTTTCCTGAACAAGGCCAAAGACAGAAAGGGTTGACTTATCTCCATTAATTCTTCACAGCAACTTGCTTTCTCCATGAGAGACGTCAATGGCATCTCCAATCTTGAATTAAACAAGTCTATAGTCTTTGAAAATCGATTATTTAATTGGGGAATCCATGTAGGCAGACGATAGCTACTGGTGGGAGATGGAGGAATCGACGGAAGAGTTTAATAAGTGAAGTTGGGGTCTTTAATTTATGCGGAAAGCAGGAAGGAGACAGATGAGCAGCCAGCAGGGTCAACAACCCTTTCGACATACATTGAGCCGAGTTGCTCGCTGTATTCAAGTTTCAGACATCCTTATCTTCTAAAGCAGCTTCAGTGCGTACTTAATCAAACAATACCAATTTTGTACTTCATCTTTTGAAAAAAATACAAATGTGTATTTGGTATTCGGATAAGACATGACAGGTCAGGATATGATAGGATAATTGTTCAATATTTGATAAGATAAAACTGGACATAACATAACAAATAAAATGATCCATTTATCTTGATGAGTTATTTATTTTAATTAATTTATGTAATTTGTTAAATTATAATAGAATAATTATTTTTTATAACAAAATGTATCATTTGAATATTTTGTCAAAACAATTAAAATGACACCAAATAAAAAGTTTATGTAGTTTTTTATTTTTATCTTTTTTCTACATTATTTTTTATTATTAATATATAATAAATTACATAAATTAATAAAAATAAAAAAATCGTATAAAAATGATATTTTGAGTACAATAAAATAAAAGCTTAAGAAACATAAAATACAATAAATAAAATTTAAAGAATGAATAAAATATAAAAAAGAAACTTATTTGATGTTTTAGAAGAGAATTAAGTTTTATTTTAAGGTTATATTGGTAAAATATAAGTCTTTTCCACCTTGTATAAATATGTTCCATGGGGTAGGGGTGGAACAGGCTTGTTTCACTTTGTTCCACATAAAATTAATGCCAAACATGGAACAAGGATCTCTATCATGTCATGTCTTATATACCAAACACACCCTTAGGTTTGATTTTGTTAAAGAAATCGTTCCTGACCTTAATGTCTTTTACCCTATTTAAGAAATGCAAGTATTTCTTTTGTTTTAAAGATTATTTTCAACAATTATGTTATAATTTTTAACAATAAAGTATGAAAATAGTAAATCAAAATCTCTAAAAATAATTATATCAGATTTCACCAGTTACACTATTTTAACAGTTCCAACACTAATTATATTAATGGTATATTCAGTACATTTAATAAAAATATTATTTTTTATCATATATATTTAATTTCAATAACTCTTATTGGTGCACAAAAGATTTCGACAGCGACTTGAAATCGTGGGCTATATCATCTGTACATGTTTGTATTGACCGTTAGTGTAAAATTATGTGTGTTTTTATACATGATTTCAATCATTTTCGTATTATTTTATTTGATTATTGTTTTCGTTTAAAACTTTCCATTTCAAAAATTAGTTTATATGTTTTTAAAAATAAACATACATTTCGAAACAAATAAGTAAAAATATAAACATGGTACCCAATATTTGAGTGTCTAAAATCTATAGGAACAAAAAATATTGTTTCTTTTTCGAATAATAATTGAGATCGAATAATATATTACTGAATAATGACTTGCAAAAAGAAAAACGGAATTGGACGCAAAAGTACAAAACTACCATACGAACATCTGGAAACGAAGGTTTTGTTGACTTTTATCCACCACTTATTTGACCACGACCCACCCGTTGACTGTTCATTCATTCAGATTCAATGCATTTATATATCATCACAATTTTTGGATTAAATACGTCCATTAAATTTGCAAATTGGCATGACCCTTTTTTACAACTTGTTAGTTTTTGACGATAAAAAATTTATAATATTATATTATATTATATTATATATACTTTTTTTAAAATTATTATTATTAAATGATACAACTTCCAGAAATGTTAATTCCATATATATATATATATATATATATACTAGTTGTGTATCCGAGTAATGCGGCGGGAGCCATGAATTTTAACGATTTGAAGTTCCAGTGGTTTTATAAGATAAGATTTAACGATGATATAGGTTACACTTGGTCTTTATATATTAATAAAAGTGAATAAATTAGAGTTATGGTTCCAATTACAGACTATCGATAAAAAAAAATTGTATGACAGTTTAAAATCCAATATATTTAAAATTCAACATATTTAAACGACTCCATAAATGTGTTCGATTTACACTAAAAGCAAAGAACCAAGAAACTTGAGTTTTAAGATAAACACTCAAAACCAATAAATAAAACTACAAATTTAAGTATATAATATTTATATACGATAAATACAATAAATAAATTCATACATTCTTCTCATATATAATTAAGTTTGAACTCTAGACCTACTGGGAGAAAAAAAAAACTCACAAACCTTAGGTCAAATAAGTTTAAAAATTAAATATTGAAATTATGGAGAAAGGAATCTTTTAAAAGAAATACCAACCACGTGACTTTTACAATAAAATGTTGACTTATGTGGATAGATACAATTATGTTGGACCATTGGGTGTAATTACAACCGAATTTTATGAAGAATAAAATGTTTTAATTTTTTAAAGAAAATTTATATTTATTTTTTATAGTTTTTTCTATTTTAGAAATTACAATATAAATTATGTTACCGAAAATTTTAATTTTTTCATCAAATGTATTTCTCTTGTTAGGATTTTTTTTACAAAATTTGTTGAAGATGCTTTTACAAGTTACTTAGGCTATGTTTGACAAACTAGTTGGTACTTGATAATTAATTGTTGGCTATTAATCTAGTTGGCAGATGGTAAGTTAGTTGATAAACAAATCATATTTAATAAAAACTAGTTGATAAATATGTAAAATGACAAAAAAAACATCTTAAAAAATTAGTTGATTATAATATTTCATGTTATGATTGAAACAAATCTTTAATAATATAATATGTTAATTAATACAGACATAATAGTAATAAAAAGTTAATTAATATAATATATTAAATAAAATAAACTTAAATTAATTATTTATATATATTATATAAATTTTAGATCTCTTAAAACAAATTTTAGAAGAAATCTTTATTAATTTATGATTTTAAATAACTCTTACATGTGATACGAGTACAATAAAAATGGTCAATCTCACTATCCTAATTAATTAGGGGTTGTTTGTTTATCTCTTAATAGTTTCATTAAGAGGCAACATCTAAATCATTAAGATATGAATATTGTTTAGAAAAAAAAAATGTCTCTTAATGGTTTTAAAATATTTTAAATGATTTTGTATTTTGGATCCCCTCTAACCATTCAGCATCTTAATTTCATTTTGAATAATTACTAAACAATTATATTTTATTTTGTATTACATTATAAGAGTCGCTTAATCATTCTAACCATTTAATCATTCTAACCATTTAATCATTTTGCACCTAACCATTCAGCAACTGCTAAACATCTCTTAGTACATTTTTCAAAAACTATAATTAATAGTTAAATTAAATATTTGATTAAAATCAGTCAACACGGTTTTAGGCTTTGTTTGTTAAAAAAAAACACTTATCATTCTCTTATGTCTAATTCGTTAAAAGGTATGGTCATTCAGATTGTTTGTTTTTTTTTTAAAGGCATTTATGTCTTATTGTTCTCTTATCTGATAATAAGTAAATCAACCTCTTACTTGCTCCTTATTGTTTGCAAACCCTCAACAACAACGTTTCTCAATCTATTAATCTTAATCGATCATTTATCTCAATCGATCATTACCAAATCGATCATCACCTCTCCCAATTGATGTATTTTAATATGATTTAGACGTTATAATAATATCGTTAATGACATATTTTATTTTAAATGAATGTTAATTATATGTTTTAGATATAAATTTAGTAATGATGCTGAATAAATATGTGAAATTGTATAAATTATCTAAAAATTTAACACTATATTTTTCTACTAGGTAAAATAGACGATTTAAACAAATTCAGATATTTATCATTATACAAAACAAATAGTCTTGTCGATTTAAATTTCAGACTTTAGTATTATCTCTTATCAATCATAAGTGAAATTAAACTTTAACACCTTTTACGTTTGCCAAACAATGCATTGTAACATTTTCAAAAAATTCTTTAAAATTAAGATTTTTGGAATTTTTGTTTAATAGATTCTATAAAACCTTCTCCAAAATAAAGAAACTACGAAAGACATGGTAAAATTATCCAAATCTCAAGAACTATCTCAAACCGATTACTTATGAAAGATAATTATTTTTTTATTCTCTTTACTAACGAGACTACTTGAAATTAAATATTTAGAAGAAAAATATAATATTTTACAAATTTATATTAAATATTTTAATAACACAATTAATATTATATTTTTCGAGATTGAAAAACTACAAAATATAAATTTAATCTTTAAAAATATTAATAGTCAGTATTTTATAATCTATTAGAGATACTTTAATATATTAATCCTTGCAATTATTCTTATATAGGTAAGGTTGCATTTTATTCACAAACACATAATAATAGTTAATATTTTATAATTTAATAAAAATATCAAATATAATTTATTCGTTTCGACTTATCTATACTATATTATAAAACATTTGACTAATTCTCTTAAAAAACAAATTACCATGCATAAGGTACAGTTAATTTGTGCACATTACTTAAAAATCAAAAATACCAATTAATTATGCATACATACATGTTTTTAAAGCATATCATTTTCATTGGAATCTTAATTCGTTCCTGCAATCTCTCTAATCCAACTAACGTCCCTATAATCTATTTTTTTCTTCAAATAGTAGATAGCCACTGTTGATTTCATATTTAATGGATGATTTTGACTTAATATTTATTACAATCACCGTCAACTTTTCTTCCCCAAAGCTCGGTTGCTTCTCTTTCAAGGTAAACTTCAACCTCATAGAACCATTGTTTCTGATTGATTTATGGTATGTATCGATTTTTGCTTCTTTCTTTTTGACACATTTCGTATATATTTTTTATGGTTTATTGTCTGGTTCTTTGGTGGTTTAGGTTTACTTCTCGGAGCTCGATTGCTTCTCATCCCCAAATCTTCATTGCTTCTCTTTCAAGATAAGCTTTAACCTTGTGAGTGGTTGTATTGATTGATTTATGATTTGTACTAATTTAATTTTTTTTTGATCTATTATGTTATGGAACACAAAGTTCATATAAATCATTTGACAAAAACTCTTAAAAATCATTCTTTATGCATAAAGTACTGTTGTTAATGCATGTTACTTAAACTTCAAGATCATAAATAAATTGTGCGTAAATACAACTTATTAAAGCTTTATTTTTGAATTTGTGTAACTAAATATCGATAAACATAATCAAATATGGGATAGACATCACATTTTTAATATAAAAAATCTAAAATATAATTAGATTAATCATTAGTTATAATAGAATACTCAATTACTATATTTATAAAAAATATATTATTAAAAGATAAATAAAATATTGAATTAAATAAATTAAACAAAAAACCATAATTTTAAATAGTAAATTTGATATTAATATCAACATGTATTTTTTTCCCCAAATTTTTGTGGTATATTTAAATTTATATTTTATTCAAAAATAAAAACATTATTGTTTTCTCAAAACCACTAAAAAACGTATTATATCGACATGGATAAATAATAAAACAAAATATTAAAATTAAAATATATCTCGTTCTATTATGCGAGCACCCTCCTATTTACTCATTAAATTATTAACATTAACACAATAATCTCTAATTTGACTTAGAAATATGTAAATTATTTTAGAAAATAAAAATATAAAATAAACCTTTGCTTTATATTTGCAAACAAAGTATAATCATGTTAACTACAATGGTGGTGCCTGATTGGTTTGAGTTTGACTCAAAAGGTCAAAAGCACCAGTAGGTCCCATGTTCAAATCCAATGGTGAATAAAAAAAATTCTCTTGTGGCTACGAAGGTTCGAATACGGTGATTCCGAGCTATCTACAAAACAGGTGGTCGCCCTGGGATTAGTCGGCTCACGTAACGGGTTGGATATCCAGATTAATAAAAAAAAAAAAATGATCATGTTAACGTTTTTGTTCTCGTTGTTTTATTACACACAATGAGTGAGTTAATATGGAACTAACTATATCATGCCATTTCACAAATCGTCGGAGTTTATATGCTCAGGGATGTCCTATTATGAAAAACTAGTTTTATTCAACTATTATAAAATACAAATATTCTTCCAGGGATTTTAACGATTCAACATATAATGAACCACGTAAGCTCAAGTTCGGTTATCTCAAGTTCATGTTTTGTAATTCTCGAGTTTTCCTTTATCTTAATTGCAAAATAAAGTGCGTTTAACTTAACGAGTTAGGCTTCATGACATCAATTTTGTACTCAACTCGTTCGAGATCTCGATTATTGTTGTTAGTCACAGTTATATAAATTTACGAATCAAACATGTTTTAAACCATACAAACAAAATACAAGTTCTTTAAAAAATTGGATGCTAGTGATAGGTTTTGATCTCGAGCCAATACAGATTTATGTATTTGTCTTGATAATTCAGATAATGATTTATAGTTATCATAGAAAACCCATTTGAATTGACTATTACTTTTATAATCATCGTCCTCAACCATCTATATCATAATTATTAATTATTCTTCTAGATAGATTGTATTATGGTTAACAAGGTATAGTTAAACAAACAAAAATCATCATGGCCAAATGGCCTTTTGATACATTTTTATTATTAAGCGTCCTCAGGATAAAAGTTGTGTCCATATGTTCTCCAAGATCAACAAATTTATATTTATTTGAAAAATATCCTTTTTATTTAGTGATAAAAATACTTTTAATTATTACTATTTTTTAAAATCAAGTAATTGGTTTTTAAAACATGTAAAACCGTCGTTTGGTTAATGATTTAAATTAAACGTTTAATTAAAATTAACAAACCTATGTATCGAGACAAATTAAAAATATTAACATATCAAAAATTGGAAACAGGAAAATCGAAAGTAGAAATGGAAAAAATGCAAAAAAAAAAAAAAAAAAAGAAAAAAAAGGAAAAGAAAAGCCTAAAAATTTCAAATTATATCTCTCCGTCGCTCGCATCTTCCTCAAAAACCCTAATCCCGGGAAAACAGAGTTGAAACCCGAACAGAATCCATTTTTCCCGCCATTGCGCTAAAATTCACACAATCGATCTACTCTGTCTCTACCTATCTACTGGATCTGCATTGGTAACAACTATAGATCCATCGAAGTTTACCCGGAAAAGATGTCCGGCCAATCCGACCCTCGATGTTCTACATTTTCAGCCGCCGAGGTAACTAAAATTATTATGAATGCAGTTGATTCCAAGTGAATTCCAGCTGTCTTCTGTGACTCATGAGTTTTTGGATTGAAACTTTCAGTTGGAGTTTTTAGCGGAGGATGAAACAATGGAGATTGTTCCGAACCTAAGAATGGAGCGCCTCAGTTTGATTTCCGTATTCTTCATTATCTTGATCATTCTCATGTTTATACTTTATGATATTGTATATTAAACATTAATTTTTATACATTGTCAGATGTCCAGACATCTATTCTACGTTTGATGCATTATTGACATTATTCTCCGTGTTATGATTTTTTATAATACAATTGGCAGGGTGATTTTGGTCCGTTTCGGCCACAAATAGCTACTCAAGTTCCAATATGGTTAGCCGTTGCTTTGAAGAAGAGAGGGAAGTGCACGATTCGCCCTCCAGATTGGATGTCTGTTGGTAAGTTTTTACTTTAAGAAATCTAAACAGTTATATATTCATCATATTGTTGCTCGCTGATTTATGTGTTCTTGGTTAAATTTGACAGTGGCAAATCAGTATCATGAAAATAAAACTTTGCTGATGCCTTTATGTACTCTATAAAACCACAAGTCCAAATTCCAAAAAGAAATAACCACGTTTGTATAAGAAAAATGCTAAAAGTATTCGGAAAGAGGGTAATGGATAATACGACTCGCTACAAAATCAGTACCTATATACTGACTTGATTGAAATCTTTATGTAAGAGACATGGTGGCAGAGATTAATATTAGAAATCTTCTTACATGTAGAATCACATAACAAGTACAGATCAAACCCAAGTACTCCACATGTAGGAATCAGAAGTAACAAGGCAAATATTAAGTATGTATATACAAACAAGAACAATCAAATTAAATATTGAGTCAAGATTTAAACCTCTCTTCTTAAACAAAATCGTCCCTTATTTGCTGACTGTATGAAATGACGACATGTCTCCTAGGATACAACATACACATACCTTCTTCAATCAACGGCAGCTATTTGTGAAGTCTTGTGAACGCAAATAATGAGTGACTCTCCTTAGTTAAGTTCCAAAAGTGCAGAAGAAAAGAAAAGAAACTAGGGCATAGGTAGAATAAATGGTGGAAGCGGAAGAAAAGCAATGCAAACTATGGGATCAGTATCCAATAAATAGCCTTCTCATGGATAAGAGATAATATGTTTTGATGGTTTTTGGTTCTGAAGTAATAGTCAATAATTGCAGAAAACAAGTATTTCCATTGAACTAAAACATCCAACAAATCTCCTACATGAATGGGACTTCCAAAGAAAGACTATAGACACACAAGAGACAAGTGGAGAGTACAAGGATAAGTTATGAATTCGGAATGATAACAAGTTATCAGCCTTGAACCAGCCTTAGTGAATAGTCATTGGATTTACTTGGCTGGGTAGTTAAGATGATGTCTTGAACTATTCAGTCCTTAACGCAAATCTAGACAACAACTATCACAGAACATCTCCTCATATATTGAGTACTATTGTTGTTTATTTTGGCCTTAAACAACCTTGGTTATTCATGAGCGAACTTAGAGAATGTAGCCTGTCTTAATTCTCCTAGAAACGACCTCATTTCACACTCACTAGGTGATTTCCTAAGAAGTATCCTACTACACCTCACTTGCATTTCAAAGCTATGAGAACCGTTAAAAGCTTAGCTTATCCTCACGATGTAACTGTTCATCATCCTAGAATGGATTGGACAATTAATCTCACAATGCTTCCTTCGTGGATTCAACAAAATTTAGTTTCCCGTTTGAACCTATATACTGGGATCTCCATTCTCCAATCAATTAGGTAGGGTTGCCATCAAGTATCCTCTTTTGTTATAGGCTTTAAATTCATTCTTCTTGATGATCTTACAACTTTCTCTCGTGACATACCTTTTGTAAATGGATCTACTAGGTTGTCAGCTGAATTCACATAGTTTATAGGAATCATTCCATTTGGGAGCAGCTGTCTAATAGCTTTCTGTCGTGATTTGATGAGATTTACCATTATACTTACACCTTAATCCTCTTTGATTGATCATCACAATGAATACATGTGACAAGCATCAACTTTAGCCACATAGGTATGTTATCAAAAAAGTTTTGAAGCCTTACTGTCTCTTCTGTTGCTTTATCCAAAGCAATACATTTAGATTCTATTGTGGATCTAGCCAACAAAGTTTGTTTAGTAGATTTCCAGGATACCATGCACCACCAAGCGTAAAGACATAAACACTTGTGGATTTTGAATTCTTGCTGCCTTATATCCAGTTAGCAACACTAATCTCTAGCACAAATGGATATTTTCGGTGGTGTAACCTATAATTGTGGGTATGACGTAAGTAGTTCAATACTCTAGTTATTTTTTCTCAATGGTTATGTCATATACATTAAAGATTAAACCTCCGATTACTCTAGAGTATTCTAATTGTAATATACTTTCATCAATATTCTAAAAGAATTGAAGATTGACATCTCGAGGACTTTTGACAATCCCATTTGATTAATGCTTGAATCTCAAGTATTTTTGTGTGCATAATTGATAATGCGATTGAGTTAAAGTACAACCTTCAATAGTTTTTGCAATTTCACTCCTAATCCAACATATGCAGTTCTCAAATCTTTCATATCAAACTTAATAGCAAGCATCTTCTTAGTGGGTTTAATAATATCATCGTCGCTATCAATAATGACCATCTCATGGACATGTGAACAAACCAAAAAAGATCCTATTCGAGTGTCCTCGGTGTAAACATACTACGTTTGGGTTCATAATTTTCATTTGTCGAGTTTTCAATTGAGTTACTTGGTTTTCTTGGTCTCATGTGCGTTATAGAGGATGACACAACACATCCTTACATGGAAATACATGCTTAGAGTAGGAGGCATTTTTCGGTTCCATTATATTCTCACGGATATTTGGTATATCTGATTTGTATACCAAGAGTTGATAAGCTGAACTATTTTGTGTGTATCCTATGAAAATACAATCAATGGTCTTAGGTCCAATGATAACTCGTTCTAGATTTGGAGCCACCACTTTTGGCAAACATCCTCGTCCTTTCATATATTTATATGAAGGTAATCGACCATCCACAATTCACTTAGAGTTATTCCAATTTTCTTATGGGGTATTTTGTTGACAATAAATTAGTGGATAGGAGGGCTTCCCACACATATTATGGGGTAAACCTGAAATTTAGCAATAAGACTTTCATCATCACTTTTGGAGTTCTATTCTTATGTTCAACAATACCATTCGATTGTGGTGAATATAGGAGTGGCAGTTTGATGAGCTATCCTACGTTCGGAGCAGAACATTATTGAATGTACATCAGTTCGCCTCCTCAATCACTTATAACAACTTTAATTCTTTTACACAAGTTGGTTCTCCCTTTACCTATGTATTCTTTGAATTTTTCCAAGGTTTCATTTTTGGTTTGTAGCAAATATACATAACATATTGTGTATAATCATCAATGAAATTACCAAAATAGTTATTACCACTTCTAGCTTGCCTAAATTTTAAATCACATAAGTCGGCGTGAATTAAATTCTGAGGTTCATTGTTTCTCTTTACCGAATGACAAAGGTTTTTAGTAAGTTTTGCTTCAACACATACTTCACATTTGTTGTTTTTATCTATTTTAAACTTTGGTAATAAACTCATGTTTTTATTAATCTATTTATATTAAATTGTAATTGAAATTACCTAATCTTTCATGTGAAATAAATGAAGAGTCAACGACATAAGCAACAACATTAACATTAGGAAATATAATCATTTCATTGAACTTAAACAAATCATCACACAAATACCCCTTGACAACATAATTTCCAAACTTACATAGAACAAACTTATTGGATTCAAATACTATTTTAAGTTCATTCTTGCTAAGGATCAAACTTGAAATGAAATTCTTATGCGAATCTTAGGAACATGTATCACATTGTTGAGAGTTAGCTTTTTCGCTGAAATCATCTTCAACACGATCTTTTCTTAGCTTTCAACTTTTGCCGCAAATGAGTTTCCCATGTACATATTCTCATCAAAACGATTTTCATTTTTTTTGCTAGGTATCAAACATGTTTACTAGCCCTAGTATCAAGCAACCACCCGTGAGGGTTACTTCTAACCAAGTTGACCTTGGATACCAGAACACACATCCATATTAGGAAGTCTATCAACAATCTCATTTTTTTTTGCGAAATTTACGTGATTTTTGAATTCCCCTTGCCTTTCCCTTCTTTGTTGTGTTTTTTCACACCAATATCCATATTGCTTCGGCACAATCTGGAACTTTATGATTCCTTTTACCACATTTATAACAATTCCTAACAAAATTTCAAAATGGTCTTGGTTGATGACTGAATTGAACTTTTAGAGCTTTCTCCCACACACTTCATTTTCTTTGACTTTTGATCATGTTCAACTATGTTAGCCTTCATGTCAACCGATTGATATTTGTATTTATATCCACACGACAATTACCTTCTGCGATCTATAACCTCAAGATTAAGGGGTCGTTTACTAAACGCTTACCCGATAAATGCTTACCCAATAAGCGCTTACTCGATCACTTAACTTACCGAATAAACATGGTAAGGACAAGAATCTTGCCCGGTAAGAGCAATGACGAAGACCGAGAGTCTTATCCGGTAAGTGAGGCTTACGACTCCTACCCTGTTAGTGCTTATCGGGTAAATTGTTGCATACGATGCATTTTCGGTGAACTATAATCTTACCTGGTAAGTTAAGTGAGGGTGTTGATTTTTATTGGTAGCGCTTACTCACTGGGTAAGTGTTTGGAAAAACGGCCCCTAAGTCTTCTAACATCATCTCTTTGCATTTATGCTTCAAATGATTTTTGAAGTCTTTCCAACCCGGTGGAAGCTTTTCAGTGAACCAACAACTTGAAATGGTTCACAAATCATCATATTCTCCAATTGAGTATCATGAATAATAATATTTGAATCATGATTTCTTCTTGAGTCAACCATTTTGTAATCCAAGATCGACCAACTACAAATTTCTTTGATCCAACATCCTCAGTCTTGTATTTCTTTTCCCACATGTCCCAAAGTTCTTTGGCCATTGTAACCTTGATATGTATTAGACATTTACATATACAATATATTAAGGTCTTTACTTCTTTATATATATGTATATATATGGCCCAGTTCAAATGAGAACCACAAATATTTTGAGAACCTAGGAACTAATTTTTTATAAGATATTTGTTGTTGAATATACTTATTGACAAAATACAGATACAAGTGAATATACTCATTGACGATATACATATTTTGATGAAATTTAAATAATATATATTCATCAATGAATACACATCTAGAATTAGTTCCTTGTTTCTCAAATTAATTGCGGTTCTCACATGAACCCTCCCACATATATGTGTGTGTGTGTTTGTATTTGTTATATGAACCTAATTTTTTCTGCTATATCACCATTCTAACAATGCAATAACCGCTAATCACGGTTCTAGTCGTGATTTTAGAAACTGCCCGTGTTAAACTGCTTAGCTTGCAAACCCAAATAATGAGCGATCCTCTTTTGTTAAGATTCACAAGGGCAGAAGAAAAGAAAAGAAACCCGGGCTGAGGCAGAACATATGTTGGAAGAGGAAGAAAAACTGTAGGGGGAAATCCAAGATTAATAGCTAATAATAGCCCTCTTATGGATAAGAGATGAGATGTTCTGACAGTTTTTGGTTACCAAAGTAACTGTCGGCAACTGCAGAGAACAAATATTTTCATTTAAATATAACAGTTACGAGTGAAAGAGCTTGTGTTTTTTATTGTATTTCTAGTTATGTTTATGAACTACACAAGACCTCAATTTCTACCAAGATAGCAGTTTTTGTGGAGTTTAATTTTGTTACAAAGAGATGCTAGACTAATAAGCTGTGATCAATGGCTATAACAATACTCTAACACAGGGTTAACCATTCTGACAGATTGTTTTTGCTGTAGAACAGTTGCCTGCACTTGTCTTGATGTATTAAATGGACTTTTTGTGATCGTATGACAAACCTAGGATCATGTTTACGGCTGCCCATTTTCTCAAAACCTCTTCCCAAGGGCTGCTATAATTGGCTGCGAAAGCTTTATAACTAGTTAAGGAAGGTTGCTTGATCAGCCACTAACACCCTCCCTGCAAGCCCAACCCAAATGCTTTTATTAGAACCTTTTTGTGGAACCAGCCTTTAAAAAAATTGAAGTGGAGATTCATTGGTTTTTCTCAACTTATGTTCACCAATCGACTATTCTGAACTTTGGGCAAACAATTAAAATTAGTCATATACAAAAGCAATTACATCACATTTTTTGTTCATCTAATCTGTTCAAATATTTATGCATCCACTTAATTTCTGTTTAAGTAACTGCTAGAAGGTTTCTTAGTTTTATAATGTCAATCTTTGATAATGTTGATAGTTTGGATAATGTTAACATATTCAAATATTAAAATGAGTAAATTACAAAAAACTGTTCTTGTGGTTTACCAAAACTCTGGACAGTGTCCCAACAGTTTCAAAATTACATCAGTGGTCATGATGGTTTGTATTTGATCATGGATTGGGTCTCTGGCCCTAATGTCCGTTGCATTTCAGTCATTTTACCAAATTTCTCTCATAATCGTTATGGTACAAGTTTTAAATTATGTACAGATCACGTGAGGGCACTTACCAGCACCTCTTAACGTCTTTTAGGGCCGGGGACCCAAACCACAGTGTCCAGTAGTGTAATTTTCAAAAATGTAGGAACGATATTAAGAGTTTTGGTAAACCATAGGGACGGTTTTTGTAGTTCACTCTACTAAAGCTGTTATTGTTAGTATTTGAATATCTTAAATTATAGTACTATTAGAATTTTAATATTGTTATTATATTATTTCGATAGAACATGTAAAATTAAGTTTTGTTTTAGAATTTAAATAGTTTTATATCATGTTTTTTGAATTACTTTTAATACCCACCATATTAGTTTGCTTTACTATTTTGTCAATAAAGTATTTTAGACATTTGAATGATAAATCAAACTTTTCTATCAAACTATGTGGTTAGACACCATCGTTCTTAGACAAAGAAAATTATATAATACATATGTCAGTTGTGTACCCGTGCAATACAACATTATGTAAAATTTATTATAAAGCGAGAATGAAATTAATGCAATTCCTCGTAAAAAAGGACATTCAAAATTTATTTGTAAATGCTACAATCATCTCTAATCATACACATTAGTACATAAATGACTAAATATTTTTTAAATTGTGGATTCCTCGCTTCCAGCTTTTTAAAAGCTATTTTAGTTAGCCTAAAGTTGCTCTTTCTTTTGAGGAGAATGAATTCCGAATAAAGGAAGGCGGTCGTGATAGGGAAAGAGTTTATTTATTTATTTTTTTTTCGAAACACAGACCTCTAGAGAGAAAATTCATTATGTGAAAAATTATTAAAATCACACAGATTAGTCTCTCACTCTAGAGATTTAACTCATCTTTCTACTCTGTAACAAGAGAGAGAAATAGAAGAATCTAATAATTTAAAAATGAATTTGATTGGGGGTGCTTTGAAACCAAAGCCTTGGACTTCTTTCATAGGCAGAACCCGCTTTTCCCTTTGTTGCTCCATCTATGTGGGACATGCTTTTTTCACCAAAAATTCTCAATGAAGTTAGTGATTTGTACTTCATCTTTCATAGATGTTTGTACTCTTGAATTTAAGAGTTTTACCTAAATGCTGTATAAGATAGTATGGATATAATAAGTAATCTTAGAATATCTTAATGTGGTACTATTATTAGTTTAAATTAGTATACGATATTAGTAAGTTTATATTAAAAGAATTGTATGTAAAATCAACATGCTATTTTCTAAATTTTTAGAAAAAAAATATTATTCAAATCTGATATGTACAATCAACATATCAATTATTATTTTTAGTGAAAAGTTGTACATGCACAACATACAGGAAAAGTGGTAGTTGGTAATGACTAGAGTTAGTCCTGTCATGTATTTTTCCTAATTAGTAACCATTTTTCTCTCTAATTTTTTCCTTCCCAACTAGAAAAGCTGACTCTGGTTTTGGAGGCAGAGCGTGACTCTGCTAGTTCTTTCGAAGCACTGCCATTTCATTATGTTGAGATTTCAAGGCTTCTTTTTGACCAGTGAGTGGTTACACATGGTTATAAATATACGGTTTAGTTGGTGAAAAAGCTTTCTGATAAATATTGTTTGATGCAGTGCTCGTGATGACATTCCTGATGTATATATGGTCAGTGTAGAGATCCTTATGGGGTGATTGCCTTTGTAGAGAAAACAGAAGTTCAAAAGCTCATGGTTTTTCATATTTGATAGGTAAGATCTCTTATTGAAGACATTAAAGATGTAAGGTTTCACAAAATTGGCACTGGCTTAGAGAAGCTTTCATCCCGGACATATGCAATGAAGGTAGGCTTCCTCTTCCTTGATAAATTGGTCATGTTTCACCTTCAGAATATGAACCAAGAATGCATAAGATATATGCTTTAAAATACTGATATAACATAATCTTTACCAAGTAGTATCAATAATAACTTGTCTGTCTGTGACACACTGAAGCACCAGTATGAACTGCCATGGACCCCTTGTCATAAGAGGGAAGGAATTTTGTCTGAAGAAAACCTTGAACAACATTGAAACAGCAACTATTGCTTATTACAGAGGCGATGTTTTATAAAAAGTTAAAAGTGGATGAAATCAGTAATTAAATTTTGTGGGCACGAATGATGTACAACCTGACTCATTTTAGATGCTAGGTAATGTTTCATTAATAGCATAATTGCTTTATCAAGCATGGTTGATAACTGATCATGGACTATGTGCTGGTTTCTAAAGAACCAACTAGTAGTTTACTAGTTTTCACCAACCTCTGTCCGCCACATATCATACAGACCGAGCAAATATTGATGGGTGCCTTTAGGGATGTTTATGTAGGTGTTTTCATGAAGCTTTTTTGCAGGGATTGGGATTCAAGTGGTTTAGGTCTGTGGAAGTGATAAACTTTAGAAGTATTTACTCATTACTGTTTTGTCCTGGTCCTCCTGGCTTTTCATGTGTTTCTTGTTTTTAACATTCACATTGCAGCTAAATTTATCTGCAATGGAAGTGAATGTAATACGTCCATTTGTTACGGGAGGGCTAGAAACATTTTACAAACTTGGGAATCCGGAGATGATCCAAGAATCAGAAAGACAGGAATACAGACGACCCCAAGCAGCTGATCGGGGGCCAAGAGTAAGCTTTTTCAGTCCCCAATATAATTTATCAATAAGAATGAACATTAAGATTATGAGATTTATTCAAATACTTTTGCTCATATGATCAAATCATATAACACAATAGTAATCATCTATATTCAGTTTTTGCACATGTTAAGCATTCAACTGTTTCCCTTTTCTTCCAGCGTGAATTGCGACGATAAAGACCTCTTCAACAGGGATGTCTTCTGAAATCATCTGCATATCCATCAAAAAGACAGAAACAATGTTCAAAAGCGAGAATGGAAGGTACTGCGAGTCATTGGGTTAATTTCTACAGAACCTTTTCAGCCATTGATGATGGTCAAGAGTTGATCCTGAAACTCCTTTTGATTCATTAAAAGAAAATTTGTACCCCAAATTTCTGATACAAAGTGAGGTGGCTTGTACTGTTTGTTTATAATGGAGAAAAGTATCAAGATTCTATTACATTCCATCACCGTTTTTCATACATTTCTTCCTAGAGCTCCCCTATTATTTTCCTGTGAAATTATTTTACCTTATCAGATCCTATATCGGAGATGCCTTTCAAGTCCCATGACTATGAAATGTTGGTTACATCACAATAGTTTCATTCTCGAAAACCATGATGAAAGTATATCGTCTTTTAATTTCTTTAAACATAGCCTTGATGGTATGTCTTCCTTTTGGAGATTCCTTTCTGATTTCTTGCATATTGTTGTCAGTCAATTATGTTGTTAGCATTTGTCAATAGGGATACTTGGTTGCCTTTCCCTTGCTTTATCTGAATCAAAGTTATATTAGAACAAATGTGAGTCTAAAGTGCATTAAGGGCATATATCCTCTTTCATAAGCCTTGTGTTTCATACTAAGTAGACATATTACGATTGCGCCATAATTTCAGACATATATTGCTGGCAGGTAATGCTTATTCAGGCTCCTTTAACTGATACTAGCTAATAGCTATAGAAGTATGAAGCAACTCTTTTTGGGTTCAGAGATTAGCTTTAAGTAGGCTTTGGTACAAGTTGCTTTCAGGCACTTATGAAATTGAACTACTTGACCATGTGTTTAACGATATTGTCTCTAGTTTGGTCCTTCCATTCCATGCATGTGAATCTTTTAACCATTTGGTATGGTAGAGATTATCATTCTCTCAAGATTCTATCTCTCTATAGATGTACTCGGTTCGTTTGTTCTGGTTAATGTGAATCTTTTGAGTTATTAGATGCATCTTTCTGTTTCCTAGCATTATTTCTTGTCCTTGAGCTATTATAGTGGGGTAGAATCTGCTCTAAACTAGCTGTTATCTTAGTTCCTACAAGATGATAAAATCATCCATTGCAAAAAGAAACCAAATCAAACTGAGTCCAATATATTACATTTATGTTTGCCTTTCTGCTACAGGAGTAATAAACTAAACCAGAAAAGGGAAAAAAAGGTCCAAAATCAAGAGAAGCATCTTGCAGCTGTTTTTAGGCATGTGCCATTCTGGCATGTTTAGCCATTTCTTTTTTTATACTACATTATCAATCATAATGCTGTTCTTAGATTCTAGCAGAGGTTGGATATTCTATCATGGAAACCAGAAAAAATAACATGCACAATTTTATTATTGTTCCTTTATTTTTTTTTTAAATGTAATCACATTTTTCAAATGAGTTGTTTCAGGTTGTGACATGTGGATGAAGCTGTTGTTTGAAGAGGTCAACTACCACACCATGTGTGCAAGCCAAGTGTTCAATCCCTGGTCTCATATTTTATGTTTGAATTTTACATGTGTTATTCATTTAAAAAAAAAAATCATATGTTGAATAAAAGATTTCAAAACTTACCCATTTCATCATATAAACCCAAATTTAAAAGAGACATCATTTATAGGTGACAAATAAGATGTATGGTGTATGATTGGATTTGCATTCCATCATGACTATAATGTGACATGCATGCATCCATACATGTGGGCCCACATACCATAATCTTTAAATCAATTTCTCATCTACCACCGTCTTTCATAAATAATACTCATTTCTTTTTCATGAAACTGCTTTGCTTTAAATGATAATTTTTTTTAATGTATTGATTTTCTTTTCTGCATATCAACATAAAGACTTGTTTTTATATTTTTCAAATATGATTTGATTTGATTCTAACATTAAAAGAGGTACATGTAGTATTACTCTATAAGAAAATGTTTCACCATCTACTATTATTATAGAATATAGTGATTGGATTTTTTTTCTATAATAATTACAATAATAAAAGATCTAGAAATAAAGATAATATTTATTTATTAAATATTCAAATATATCTTACATGTATAATCATACAATATAATAGACACATTATGACAAACAGAATGATTAGATTCCCCCTTGTTTCCTTTTGCTAAACAACCTTTTTTCTAGCTGTTTTAGAGCTAATTGTTGTCTTTGATTCATAAGTTTTGATAAAATATTTTCTATAAAACTTTAATTTTTTTTGAAATATTATTTGATTTTATTGCATTATAGAATCATATGACCTACTTAGTTATGCATTGTCGTTTGATGTACAAAACTATGACGGGGATATAGACTGAGATTTGCCTTAAAAAAAAAAAGACGACGTTATAATGGTTTAGAAAGATGTCATTTTTAAGTTTAAATTATATATGTTATGAAGTGTCTTTACAAAGATAAGTGACAATTGGGTAACAAAGTGACGAGTGTTTGAAGGTTCCATTTTTAAAAATCTATATAAATGCAAATTTAAAAACGTTATCTATGTGTTAATGTATTCTAACAAAACTTCAAACTACACGTTACAAACGGGAAAAATAACGTATTTCATTGTTCTTTTATTATTTTAATTATTGTTTTAGGATCGACAGAATTTAATCATTGGATTCATCTAAATATAAACTAAATTGGTTTTACATGAATACGATTGATTAAGACATTTAACTATAATTAGTTAAATACATAAATTATGTCAAGTTGCTCATATAAACTTATTATGTCAACATCACAAAAACAATTATATTTATATTAATAATTCTTTTTTATTATAAAATTACCACTTTTTTTTTTCTTAACAGATCGTAATTTCAAATATTTATTATGATATTAAGTTTTAATTTAGAGTTGTAATTAAAACTTGGAAGCAACAATCGATAAATAAACTTGAGTGTCTTTGCTTAGAAAACAGAAAGAATGAAAAACGTTGCGTTAATGATACAAGATGATTGATTTGTGACATCTAACAATATTGTAGATATTTTGTCATCTACGTATAAACATGTTTTTAGTTATTATTTTATTTAAAAAAATTCAATACAAATGTTAACTAGAATATATAAAAGTTTTTCGATCTATGTAACAAATTCAAGATTAATATCTACTTATAATAAATTACATATATAAGTATACTTGTATAGAATTGGGTTCCGGTAAAAATGAAAGTTAAGATAAAAAAACATAAAAAAAATCTCCATCCTTAAATACATATTAAGATACATACACCAGATAAATCTTCGTATTAAACATGGTTCATGTATGATTAAATATGGATAGTTAAAGAGGGAATATTTTAGGACGAAAGTACCCCGGAAGCGTATGTGTGTTGGTTTGGGTCTAAATACGTTATTGACTCATAACCTCCCACTTTAGTAGGCTCGCTTCACGGAAAATCCTCCGACAAAGCCCTTTTTCGTCATTTCACGTTCCATCCAAATTCTCTATATATTAATATTTCCGCATTTCTTTCGTCTTCATCCTCTGCGGGTTGACTGTACCTCTGCCAAATTCTAATCAATTTTGTTCCTCTCACCCCGTTTGGATCGTTATAAATCTTTTCAATCCCGTTCGCACCTACTGTTTTCGATTTTGATTCATCACTTCTTTGAACGTAATTCATTAAAAAACAAAACAAACAAACAAAAAAAGGAAAGAAAAGAGGAAGATTGATTCTTTTGAAGGTTCGGATATCTTTTTCTTTGATCTTCAAGGGAATTTTGGTCTTTGGTTTTCGTGTTTTATGATTGATAATCCATTGGGATTTTCGTAATTTAGGGTTTTTGGGTGATGATTTTACCGTTTTGACAAAAGATTTATATTATTTTTGGAACGAATTGTAATTGGGTGTTCTATTATTTTGAAACGTTGTGGGTTTTTTTTGAGTGAATTGATTTTCGCGGCAAGTTAATTGTGGTGGGGGTGGAGGTACCCGGTGGTGGAGCATGGATTGCAGAGTCTACGCGGCAACTGGGGACCCGTGGTTGATGATGGGAGGCAGTGGCTCTGGTGGTGGTGGTGGTGGTGGTGGTGGTGGTGGTGTAGGGGGGCAGATGTTGGGTGGGGCGTTTAGCCATGAAAGCGAGCATGATTTGGCAGCGATGGTAAGCGATTTCTTGGAGAATGGAAGTAGTTGTGGTGGCGATTCACGGTGTAGTAGCGACAGCGATTCCGGTTTCTGCGAACTTGCTCACCTCGCCGACAAGATTTCGGTATCTCCCTCTCCCTCTCCCTCCATACATTTAAGAATTCCATTAATTAATTAATTAATCATTGGTATTATGTTACTTTTGACAAGCTGTGTTTCAAGTGCTAGAATTTTATTAAAATCCTATAATTTGTAGCAAGTTTTCTACATATATTTGCCGTTTCTCATAGAGAATGTCAATTTTGTGGGATGACCCTTGTGTTACCATGCATGAAGGGCCAAAAGTTAACTAATCTTCTTATGATTAATTAGAGCATGCCATATTGCCATGAATTTTCATCCCAACTTTGATATAAGCATGTTGGGTTGTCCAGATTGAAGAATTTCAGTATGCTTTTAGGTACTTTAGGTAGAAATTATGATTTTCTGAATGTTTAATTAGAGCATGCCATTGATATTTAGGTCTGGTTTTGAAATGGGTATGATGAATTGTTTAAATTTCATGATCTGGGTATGTATAGTTGCTTTAGTAGTCATTATTACTGTATGACAATTAGGTTGTGGGGATACCCCCTCCCCTCCCCCCTCTTCTCTGTCTTGTTTTATCTATTTATTGTGTTGGATTTTCCCATTATATCAGGGGTGGTCTTCAATGGATACACTTACTCACACTGCACGCAATATAGTAAGAGTCTTAGCAACAAGCGTGGATGTTGGCAAATTTCGGAACTATGAAACTATTGTTGTGTCTGTCTTGATTGTACATCTTCTGTTGGGTTATCTGCATCAAAATAATGGCAAAATTATCTTTTAGAGTGGATAATGGTATCATGCCTGCAGTAGAAGTAACTTTGTCATTCTGTGCACAATTCCTCCATTAAATGCATCCATTGGATTTCCGTGAACATAAATCAAATTTGGTAGAGAAGTAAACACCAGCAGCATTTAGGGCACCTCTGTCAATGGTAGTAATGCTTGCCAGATGCTATTTCTTTCATCCTGCAAAATTGCAACAATTTCTTGGGGAGGGAGGGGGAACTTTTGAATCTAGTTGGTAGACAAGTATTTCACTCAAACTATTTTATGTTGTGGGATGTTTTGGTTTTCATGGGTCAGCGGAAGTACTTATGATTTGTTCCCGTGCCATGTAATACATAAGCCTCTGATTTAAGCCATGGAGAAAGAAAATTATGTTAAGGTTCTGTAACATTTTACTCCTTTCGGGTTTTATTCAAATTAAATGCAACATTCAATTATTAGGGAAATATCTAAATACCTTTTGATGTGACAAAGACATAGGAACCTTGTGAACCATTAATTTGATTGATATTTGTAAGGATTATTAATGGGTAAATAAGTAATCTTGGTTGGAAACTTTGCCAAAACGGAAATGTTGCATTTTTTTTGGGACCTAAAGGAATACGAGTTTAGAAGAGATGAGCAATATTTTGCCCTCAAGATAATATTTTGAACTTACCATACTTGGTCTCAGGATCAACTCAAGTTGAGATATGCCTTTGAGTTTCCTTTTTATACCATCTTTTTCAGTGACATGCTATGAGATAACAGAAAGACCTAAAACTTTTGAAGTATGTAATGTTTATATACAACAAAACTCAAATGCACTCCTCATCTTTAATGAGACTTGAACCCTTGACCTCAGGGAGGTTGGGACCTACCATCCGTTGGGCCAATGACCCACTGTTAGAATTTCTTTTGTTGATGTGTTGAAATGCTTATTTCAACTATTAATCTGCATTTCATGCAGTACTACAAAGTTTTACTGGATCAACATGGGATTGACATGCTGTCGGTGGTAAATTCTCTCATCCTATCTATCAAAACGATGGACCTTGATTTTATCAGGTCTGGTTCATGTAATGCTAGTTGCATAAGGTTCTCGCTGGTCAAACTTCTGAAGCTTTCTGGTTATGATGCTGCTGTCTGCACATCAAAGTGGCAGGGCACCGGAAAAGTTCCTGGAGGTACTCTTTAACTTTCTTAATATTCATATTGTAAGTTGAATAGTGTTTTAGAAATATTGCATGAAATGCAGGGGACTATGAATACATTGACATTATAAACTACAATGATTCTGGACGTGCTGACCGTCTAATCATTGACATCGACTTTCGAAGCCACTTTGAGATAGCTAGAGCGGTTCCTTCTTACAATAGGATACTGAAATCGCTTCCAGTTGTGTATGTGGGATCATTGACAAAACTAAAACAGTTCCTTCAAGTAATGGTGGAAGCTGCCAAATCTTCTCTCAAACAGAACTCCATGCCACTCCCTCCTTGGAGATCTCTCACCTATCTGCAATCCAAATGGCATTCTCCCTATCAACGACATATCCACCCTGAACCAGGAACCATCTCAGACTCGCTCATTCCTGACCACAAACTCTGCAATGGACACCTGGATCGGCTGAAATCTTTGATTCAATTTGAGATGGAAACTGACAGGAACCATTTGAAGAAGGCCACAAGCCGAGTGAAGCTTGATAGGTGGAGGATAAGAACACTCTGAGATGTAAAGAAATTTCTACTGTCAAATAGGTACACCTCGTGAACGAGAAATGAGACCGGGTTCACGTGGTGTGCAAATACTAAGGTAGCAACTTAACCCCATCAAGATGGATGCTTTTTTTTTTGGCCATCGGTGGTCCTGATGTGGTGGTATACTTGTTCTCTTAGGCACCTGAAGAAATTTGGTGACTTGCTTTGTTTTTCATAGGCTTTTTGTGGGTTTCTTTTTTCATCTTTTTGATGATAATCGGATCCTCAGTGTTTTGTTATGTGGATCCGAAGAAGTTTTGCGTTGTTTTCATTTTGTTTTTTTCTTCTTTTGAATTACAAGAGGTTGCTTGAACAATGTTATATTCTTTAATTAATAGACGGTAAAGTTTTGTTTTGTTTTGATTTTAGTTTGTGCTTTGAATATTGTGTATTTCGTTGAGATGTTAAAAGAAGTCGATTGAACAATGTTATATATCCTTTTCATTTACAACTTTTTATTTTATTTCTTTTGAGTTCTGTTGTGCCTGCATTTGCCTTGCCTTGTGATTAGACTTGCTTCCTGCAGCCCTCTTTTTGGCTGCTTTGTGTGTTTTTACAGACAGACAGGCAACCACTGCCCTTTGGTCACTGCTCGTCTCCCTTTTTCGACTTCTTGGTGACTGCTGCTGTAACCTGGGGAAGTCAACAGGAAAAAGTCAGCCATCAAACTTGGTTCTCAGCCTGATACTTTCTACAATTCAGACTCTGTAAGGTATATGCATTGAGTGTTTTTGTTGTAATTTTGACATAATTTAGTGAGTATGTCAATATCTGCTATTAACTCTTCATTTGCTCTTGTTTTCAGGATTAGAGATAACCATGTTATCAAAGTGAACCTTGTTGGTTAATGATACGCATCTCTTGCTGTTGATGGATGACAATCTCATATAATGATTAAGGAAATGGTTTCTTCTTAAAAACAGTTCTGTTAGGCCACTTCCATTCCATTGAAGATGGAGAAGAGTAGATGTATATGCATATTACATGTACAAATGTATGCATCATTCAGTAAAGGTTTCTTGATTCTTACATCATTCTACATACATACGTCAATAACCCACTTATTGGGGGATAAGCTTTCATCTCAAAGACGCTTATGCATGGAGAGGTGGGTTGCTTCAACAATGTTATATTCTTTAATATGCTAAACTTTATTCCACACACAACTTTGAATCTATTCCTTGTGAATCTGCAATTCTTGAATGGTTCTAGTTCTAGTATGGTATCACGAGTATAGGGAAGTGAGACCACATGCCATACTTGTTAGCGGTCAAAAGTACCAGGAAGTTTCAGGTTCAAATCCAAGGAGAAATAAATATCCTCTTGTGGCCAAGGAGGTTCATATGCGGTGACTCTGGGCTATCTACAAACCAAGTGGTTGTCTTGAGATTAATTGGCTCACATAATGGATTAGATATACAGGTTAATATAAAAAAAGGTACAAGTTTGTTAAATTTTAATTATTTGAACAAATCTAATTTAATATTGTTTAAATAAGATTTAGAACAAAACCAAAAACCAAACAAGTTAAAATCCAACGGTCAGAGTTGCGTAGTGGCAAGTAATTAAGGCTTTGACAAACAGTCGACCACACTTGAAGAAGCAATGGGGATTTCAAAACACTTATCACTCGCCCTCTTATTACTCTTCCTCCCCGCCGTATACTCCATCGGCGTTAACTACGGCACCCTCGGCGACAACCTTCCACCACCGTCTCAAGTTGCTCACTTCCTCAAATCCCGTACCATCATCGACCGTATCAGGATCTTCGACGTCAACCCTGATATCATCAAAGCTTTCGCCAACACCGGCATCCTCGTCTCCGTCACCCTCCCCAACGGCGAGATCCCTTCTCTTACCGATCCTCGCAACGCCCGCCGATGGATCGATACCAATATCAAACCCTTCTACCCAGCCACCAAGATCCACTACATCTGTGTCGGCACCGAGGTGCTCCACTGGGGCCCTCAAAACCTTATCGACAACCTCGTTCCGGCGATGAAGGTGCTTCACGCCGCACTCGTTAAAGAAGGTTTTGGAGATATTAAGATTTCTACTCCACATTCACTGGGTATCCTTCTCTCATCGGATCCACCCAGCAACGCTTCTTTCCGACCTGGATGGGATGTCGGTAGTCTAGCTCCGATGCTCGAGTTTTTGAAAGAAACCAAATCCGGGTTCATGGTTAACCCGTATACTTACTTCGGGTACTCCCCGGCGAATGCCAACTTTTGTCTCTTCAAACCCAACGCCGGATTGTTCGATAAAGCCACCGGAATAACGTAATGCCTCTCCTCATGTCTTTATACACTCGGGTTTTCATCAAATTTGAAGTATATTTTTCAAGTTAATTTAATGGATTTCATTTTTTGATTGATTCAAAAGGTATACAAACCAGTTTGATCAACTAATGGATGCTGTGCACGTGTCGATGAAGAAGCTAGGTTACCCAGATGTCGAAATCGTGGTGGCGGAGACAGGATGGCCATCAGGCGGCGACCCGGCAAACGTCCACGCGAATCCTGTAAATGCGGCGGCGTATATTGGTGGGTTAATGAAGAAAGTTAACTCCGGCGACGGAACGCCGTTAATGCCGGGACGGAAATTCGAGACGTACATCTTTGCATTGTTCAACGAGAATTTGAAAGGGCCATCGTTGGATGAGAAGAATTTCGGGTTGTTCCGACCCGATCTCACTCAAGTCTACAATGTTGGAATAGAGCACGCACCACTGGTAATCTTTTTCTCCGATGTTTCGTTTGACTAATTTTGACTTTTCACACACTCAATTTTAACGTTAGATTTTATGTCGACACAGCATACGAAGCCACCGAAAGTTGGATGACCCCATGTGCACTTTGTCTCATATTTTTATTTAATTTTGAATTTTTAAATTGCTGTAAAAACTTTTTCCGATTTAAAATTATATACTAATTACATATTTATTTCATCATCATGTTACAACGGCATTTTAAGTTTAAATAATAAACTCAGATATAAAGCAATTAATTGCTTTCCATTTAATTATAATTTAAAAAATGTGCCGTTAAATTCTTCACGTGATCTTTAAAAAATGGCAATGTTACGAAGATTCTTTTGTCCTTTGGCAATAATAAATTATGGTTGTGACGAATCTGCCCTTTCCTCAGGCTCCTTCTCCGTCACCGATGGCCGCCGCAGCCGATGGACCCAACTCCTCCGCTGCCGATGCACCGAAATCCGCCGCCAGTCCTTGGAGAGATGCTCCTTTCTTTAATAAAACCATCCCTTCCACCGGCTCACCGGCGAAAGCTCCACCAACTTCTTCCACCACCACCACAAACACCAATGTTCGTGCTACATCTCCAGGAGCCACCAACGCCAATGTGGTTTTATCCACCAGGTCTGCGGTGGCGATCATTTTAGCCGTGATTTTGTTGGTGTAGATTATATATGTTTTCTATAATGTTTTGTGATATCGCGGCTTACTAGATTTACTAGAAAACGTTAGAGACGTAGTCACGGATTCTTTTGGGACTTGTAACTTAACTATTTATGCATCGATGATTAGTTTATTGCTATTAGAATCATAAGATCTTCAATTTATTTGGTTTGTTACAAGTTACGATTTCTATATTTATGTTTTGAGATATGGAAACAAAAACAAAACCATGATCTTAAAAATAGCAATTTAGGAGCTGTTTACTTGCGGTTTAATTAGGTTTATTGGTCTATCTGGTTTATTCGCACAACTCGTTTGGGTTGTTTACTTACGGCTTATTCGCACAGAACATGGCTTAATCGCACATATAGAAATGATATGTTGTCCCCGTTCAGCCACAAAAATGACACTTCTACCCCTTATTTAAAGCATCGCCTCCTTCCCAAATAAGACACCCTATCGTCAACCTCTTTATGTTTTTTTTGTTTTGATGTTTAAATACTTAATATTGAGGGGTAAATCTGTCATTTATGTAATTCAGACTGTTGGTTCAGATATAAAAAAATAAACAACAATACTCATTTATCCAAACAAACAAATTTATCTATACAGCACTTAATAAAAAAATTTAGTAAACATCCCCTTAATATATTGGGCTTATTTCGAGATGATGAGAGTGACATGAGATGAGACCATGCAAATACCATGTACTGCTTGTCTGCTTGTGCTTTCAGTTTCCATGGCCTTGCATTGCAGTCTTTTGGTTGGTCCTGGGCTGATTCGTTTGAACTTTACGGATAAGGGATAGCTGATTGGGCTTTTAATGGGCTTGAAATTGAATTTATTTTTGTTATATTTGGGCTTAGTCTTGACTTTGGGCTGAATCGGTTGATTGTTTGAAAGAATCAATCCAATGTAAATTTACATATTTACCCCTGGAATCGGAAAGATATTCGACTGAAACATAAACTGACTGGCAAAATGAATGGCAACCCAACTAAATAGTTAGTACAGATAAAAATATCATAGTCAATATCTGTAAGTACAGTCGTGATTGGTTTTTCAATATAAGTAACTGGATTCTATCAATCTGGCGTGAATTAGAAAAGACCAAACAGACCATATTTGATGACGATGCTGCATAAAGTTTGGTCCAGTCTCGCTTTCAAAGGTTCAACTATGAGAAAGAAAAGCAAAGTGATAAGTTGTGGGACCAATGGCAATGGGGATGGGTCATTAAGAAACATGGTGGGATTTCTTCTTCTTCTTCTTTTTCTTTTTCTTTTCCTTGTGATATGATTAAAGGATGAGGGTACACCCCAACTTTATTCACTATTTTCTAATGCTTTCCATCATTTCTGGTGTGCTCCAACCTTAATCTCATGCCTAATCAACAAGGGTGGTGATTGATTGGTTTGAGTTTGTCTTCAAAGGTCAAAAACATCAGGAGGTCTCAGGTTCAAATCCAATGATGAATAAAAATCCCTTGTGGCCACAGAGGTTTAAATGCGGTGACTCTGGGCTATTTGCAAAGCAGATGGTTACCCTGAGATTAGTCGGCTCGCATAGCGGGTTGGATATCCAGGTTAATCAAAAAAAAAAATCTCATGCCTAATCTTTGCCAAAACAATCTCAATTTGTATCCAACGTTGTCTTGTCATTGCTAACTTCTAATTATGTATATATAGAAAATCAAACGAGAACATAATCAAAATAAAAAAATATGAAAACCACCATTTCACATAACACTGGAATCATATACGGTTACAAAACATGGTCAACGCAAGAGTGAGCGAACAACTTGGTTCGCACGACCTTAATTTGTGGCCAAAGTTCCATGAATCACATAAGATTTTAGTGTATAATCACATTCTCGTGTTTTTTTATCAGGTATAATCTGTGTTCTTAATAAATGCATTGTTTATGTCTAAGGGACGACTTTTAAAAATACTTAACGCATATATTTAAGTTATTTGTAATAAATTTATTGATCTACACATCAATTAGTTATGTGTAATTTATTAGGTGGGTTTGTTTGAACAGTTGATAATATATATATATAATATGGAATTATAATGATTACAATATTTTTAACAAAGTTGTTGAACTAAAAGTACCAACCAACTAATTAAAATCACAACGTTACATAACTCTTGACATAAGTCATATTACGTTAATGATTTTTTTGTTAAAAAAACATGGCATTTAATATAATATATTATTTAATAAATATATCTTAGCATAATAGTGTATCTATATTATATTATAAAACAGTTGAAAAAAATTTTAAATTTTTATATATCAATTATTATTTATTGATGCATGATACTTAAAATTCAATATTACAAGTAAAATTGTACATAAATACAACTTAGTAAAAATTAATGTTTGAATTCGTATATCTAAATGAAGATAAACATAATTAAATACATGATAAATATTTTATTTTAAATATAAAAATTTAAAATAAAATTAGGATAATCATTAAGTTGTAGCA